ATATATATATATATATATAATCTGCTTTCTTTTGCTGCTGGACTGAAGCTAATTACCTCTCACTTTTCTCTTTAAGTGAATAAAAGTGACATTTTCTGCAATCATTTATCCTTCCTTTTTTAATAAAACCATACAATAAAATATAATTTTATCCTTAATAAAAACTACTTTTTCCTGTCAGTTTGAATGCTTATTATTAAAAGATGAGCATAAGGGTGCAATGAATGAACTCTCTCTGCAGGCATGCTTTGGATTCTGACAGATTTTAATAATTAACCAACTTCCCAAGCAAACCTCCACCATCACATGCAGCAGGTGAGATAATTATAGTTTACCTTGTCATCATGGGGTTAGGAATACCTTGACAGCGCTCACTATGATAACCATTAATACCATTTTCCATACTGAAAACAAAACGTTGTGTACAAAAAAAGGGATGAAAACTGATAAGCAGGGCATGCTGAACTTTAATAAATGTATTTTATGAGAAGCTAACCATTGAAAGATTTTTAGGAGATAAATTAGCTCAGAGTGTGAACTATGGTGCTTTATTTACAGTGTAGTTTCTAAAAAACAGGTGGACTTATACGATAATAATTGCAAGAGCCCTTTATGAAAGGTATCGGGCACTTTTTTAATTCAGCACAGGACAGTAAGCCACACCATCCACCCACAAGAACAACTCGAAGCTTAAAAATACAAAACAGCACCAGGAATTCAGTAAACAGCTCTCTATGTACATGAATCAGGAGAAAAAGCAGAGTTATGGAAGGTAAAGTTAAAAGGGAGGTGGGGAAGATGTCTTACTTTTTCATGGGAATTGTCTCAATGCTATAAAAATACACACACACACAAAAAACAAAAAAAACCAGAAAAAATGTAAGATGTTCGGTGAAATAAATGCATCTTAAAGTCTGCTGCAATCCAGGAGGGATTACAGGCAGAGAGATGATACTGAAATCTGAGAAATTAAAGAACTAAAGCCAAAGGCCCGCAAAGGTTGGCCAAAAGGATCAGGAAATAGAATTAAAAAACACAAAGTGTGTCAGTGTCTCTGTAAAGTGCTACGTGCCTGAGAGTGAAGAATGAAGAAAGAAAACAAAAGGCATGGAAATGGAAACAGTAGAAATGGTTATCACAAAGTAAAATGCCAAGTCCCAGAAACAGAGGAGCTGCAGGAAGGAAGAAGTGGACAGAAAAGACATAGACAATAAACGAGCAGTACTTCCATGTCCCCCGCCGCTGAGGGATTTGAGCAGTGAATGTTTGTAGTTTTCTAGATGAATGTTTTTCTGGACTGGAGTGGAACAGGGAATGAAGTAAACTTTAATGTTTTTGGTGAAAGATATTCAGGTGGGGAGGAGTTACACTGTGGAGAACAGAGGCGGTGCATGGTGATGGATCCTGACGGGTGGAGGGGGCATATTATCCACCAGCAGATCCATTGGCCGAGCCAGGGGGTGGCCAGTGGTGGCCGTGGCCACCAACGAATAATATTGGGCCACCCAAATCATTTGAGGAAAGTATACTTTTAAGCACCAGCAGATCCATTGGCCGAGCCAGGGGGTGGCCAGTGGTGGCCGTGGCCACCAACGAATAATATTGGGCCACCCAAATCATTTGAGGAAAGTATACTTTTAAGCATCAACGTCAAAAGCATTTGTAGTGCGTGCTGGGGGGTCGGGTGGGGGGCACGTGTATGTGTGTGTGTGGGTGTGGGTGGGGGGGGGGGGGGGGTTCTACTATTTGAATAAAGTAGATGCCATTTCCTGCATTCTGGTGTAATTTGACGTGTTGCTAAACATTTACGTTTACCTCCATAAGTACACGCTTGATTCAATAACTGTTTTAGAGAGCAACAAGAAGTAGGCTGACCAGCAGCTCTCCTTGTGAGCCCCCACTCCCCCTCCCACCAGCACGTCAAAAACTGCTGGATGTAGTGCTAGCGGCGCACAACACAGACTTGTTAGCTAAGATGCTACAGACGTTGTGTTCTTCTTTACTCGCACATCCTAACCTCCCACCTCCATCAACAACTGCCAGCACTAAGCTAGCATGCAAAACAGAGGTATCTCCCCCTTTACCCCCGTGAGCACCCTGCCAAGGCAGGTGACCGAGGAGAAACGCTGCATGTGGCGTGGAGTTGTTGTAGGTAACCAGGAAAACCTGGAATGGATTTTTTGTGGTTTGAGTATTCTCCTATTAATCAAATGGAATGGATTTGTTCACGAAGAAATAGCAACAACGCTGGGTGAACCAATATTTAATGGAAAATGGGGGGTGGTGGGGTGTCTAAACAAATATTTTTAAAATGGGAGGGGGGGACATGTCCCCTTTACATATAGTTGTGATGATGCTTATGCTTTTAAGCAATATAAAAAACTAGAAAGCAGAGTTTCTTCAAGTGATTGGTGTGGTCGGTTTACATATATAAATGGTGGTGGCCATCTTGGATTTTGATGTGGCAACCCAATTTTCCACAGTGGGCTTTCTTATGCCTCGATGCACCAAAATGGAAGTCAGTAACTCACTTGTTTTTCAACTTCTCCAGCTTACAAGATGGATGCACATATATGGCAGTGGCCATCTTAGATTTTGACGTGACAGTCTGATTTTTGAAAGGGACCTTTCTTACGCCTCGATGTAGCCAAGCATCAAAACGTAAGTCGGTCCGTAATTTATTTTTTGAAGTTTCATGCTCAAGACATGCACGGACAGATGGAGGGTATTTCCAATTTCCTCTCCTGTCTCCACGACGAGGGACAACTAAAGAAGCTTTAGCTACAGAAGGAAACTCAGAAGTTTTTATTGTGTGTCAGACACAAAACTTTGATTTTTAAATAAAAAGATAAATTCTATATAAACACGTGGCGCACACAGGAAAGAGAAAAACAGAACGAAGTCCCAAAACCAGCTATTGTTTAGCTAACAGTTTATAAAAGCTTGTATTTTGAAAGTCTTACAATCACTGAGAGGAACAGAGCTTACTGACAAAAACAAATTAACTGCACTACAACTCAACATAAATATGTTTATTTTGAGGTAAACATAAAGAGTAAAATAACTCACTCATCGTAAACGTCCTCTGTGTCCATCCTGCGGTAGTATTTGGCCAGTTTCACTGCCAGTATGACACTGGGGAGCAGAAAGAGCGTGCTGCAGCCCAGGCCCATCCAGAAGGCGTTCTGTAGGAACGAGGACATTATTAACAAATACAATATTAATAAATCACTACAAAATATTAACTTCTAAAGTTAATTTAAGAGGAAATGTGAAGCTTAGCATTCCTTGATGGAGTTCATACATTCTGCCGCTTTTAATTCCAGAGTTTTAAACTAAAATAAAGTTACAACCGGTTTGGTCCCATTGTTAAAGACAATATGCACGATCTCGTGCAATATCACCAGATGTCACTCAGAGTATATGTTGTGAAAGACTCTCAGCTACTACTCCAGCATTTTAATAAAGTCAAGTTTATTTATATATTGTTTCACAGTGAAAGAAAAACATTATACAGTAGTCCCTCGCTACTTTGCGGTTCGTTTATCAGAGACTTTTTCTTTTACGGTTTTTCAAAATTAGATTGGACATGACACACAAATGGCTGATTTTATTAACCTTAATTTAACCTGGCAACTCCCACTGAGATCACAGATCTCTTTTGAAGGGAGATCTGGACCTGAAGGCAGACTAACGTGCATGTTTTTTATCTGTGGGAGGAAACAGGAGTACCTGGAGAAAACCCACGCAGCACGAGAAGAACATGCAAACTCCACACAGAAAGACCCCAGGTCCAAACGGGGATTAAACCCAGGACCTTCTTGCTGTGAGGCAACAGCGGTAACCACTGAGCCATCGTGCTGCCATATGAGGTAAACATCATGATGGATGAGCCGCACGATCGACATGGAATTTTTATTTTAAATAAATTATTTGAAATTATTTAGCACCTGCTGCACATTTATGCAGCCCATACTGCAGGATAAACTTCCTGCTGCAGCTGATCAGCTGTTCTCTGTGCAGAGTGGAGAAGTGGGCGTGGCCAAGAGCGCTTGCAGGTGGCTGAGAGCAGCGGAGGCAGGGAGCTGAATCATGACATTCTGTGCTCTTTTAGAGCGTTAAAGTTTAGAAACATTGTTTAGAATATTGCAAGAGTGTGGGAGAGGTTTAAAATGTCTATATATATATATATATATAAATTTTTATATATTTATAAATATATATATATATATATATATATACTAAAAAAAACTATTGATTAACTGATGAAGCCTTCCGGATCGAAGGCGAAATGTTTCAGCACAAAAAAAGAAACTGTCCAGATGACCTTAGTGAAAAATGTTGGATTGTATACCTGGATTATTGAGCATGGACTTTGTTGTAAAATAAACTACTACTTACGACTTGTCCTACTATTCCTACTTGGTGGTTTTTCACTTATCACGGATCTTCAGGGTACAGATCCCCTGCGATAAACAAGGGACTACTGTATATAAGACCCCATCCAAAGAAGAATTGCTGTGGCTTTAAATGCACTATATAAACAATAAGATTTCTGATTTGTTGCAACATATAGATGAGAACAACAGAGGAGGATTCAAGTGTTTTGCTGAAATTGCTTAAATTAAGCATCGTCAGGGTAGCAGCCTCATAAAACTTCGTTTCCCTGCAGAGCAGCGAGCTGGAACAGGTTTCACTACACACGATAGAGGTCATAATGTTACGGCTGATTGGAGGGAACTTGTGTAACGAAGCACAGTGAACAACAGCTAGCCACATGAAACGCGTTCATACATTTTATTTGTTTGTTTGCTCAAGTTCTCAGTCTGCTTACCATGGAGTCCACCAAGAAACTGCAGGTCATGATCTCGGCCGTGTCCAGGATGTTGCTGAAGGGCTTGCACTGTGCCACCTCCAGGGCCAGCTACAAAACATGGAAACAGGAAACATTAGAACGCAGCACACTCAACATCTCGCTCTACTAAATTCTGTTCCTGCTCGCAAAACTTTGAAAACAAAACGTGCCGCCAAACAACACTAAAAACGTAACGACTGACGGGGGAAAGTTTTATTGACATCTTTGAGATTCTGGGTAGAAATGTTTTGTCTTTTTTGTCCCGTTTGGTTGGAATTCCTTGGAATTGTTGCAGCAGAAACCAACGAGCCTCAAAGCAAATTCCTGAGATTTAAAGAGGCTGTAGTCGTTATATTTGGCCTCTCTAAATTTACTCCAAAACTCCAACGCAGCGTTGTTGTTTTCCACATTACGGCTCCACGTTTGATTCCAACACTGGACAGAACATGGACGCTGATTTTAACCCCACATCTTACAGGCACCGACACTTACAGACGTTTTGATCCATTCTATGTATTGACTGAAGTAACCAATGATGGTTGCTGTATATCTTCTCGTTTCCTGAAGACATTAAAGCACATTGTGAGTTTGATAGAATACATAAACTGATAATATAAAGGTAAAATACAATCACGTGGTCACCTGATTGATTAAAAGTGTGGCATTCTGGGAGATGAGGTACTGAGCGGCTTCGATGGCATCGAGGACAGCAATAACTTTGTTCTGCAGAAAAAGAACAATCGATGTTCATGAGATTATGATCGAATTAAGTCCAGATTGTGGATTAGGACTAAATCACTCACCGGAAGATCTGAGGCTGTTCTCTCCAGGAACCTCATGCTCTGGTTCAACGCACTCTTTAAATAAATAAATACATAAACGTTAGAGGTCGTTTTAATTCACACAGACAGACATTATAGAGATATGAAACCAGAGAGGATTGAAAACCAACAGTGACGCATGCTGAAGAGTTTTGTTCCAAAATTAAATATCCACAACGCAAAGAAATAAAACCACTCAACATAAAAACTGTGCACAACACAGGAGTCGTGTTTGTTCTTTAACGTTTCTTTAAGTGGATATTTGGTCATATTTTGGCACAAAACTTCATGGACAACAACAATAAGTTGTTGAAAGCAGTTTACAATGAAATACACACAAAAAGGAGTTCTTCACACAAGTTTTGTAAAATAAAATAACTTGTTTCTTTAGACGCTCTAGAGAATAAACAGACACTAAAAGTAGAGAACAGACATTTCTGCTTACCCTGGCTCTAACATATTTCTTGGAGATGAATAAAGAGAAACAAAAACAACAACAACATCATCACTAGAAATCCTTGATGAGGTTTCTAAGATTTAAACTGAAATCAGTAGAGAAAATGTATTTGAATACAAAATCATTCAGCTGGAGTCGTGGTTCATGTCTGAAAACTGCAAGTTTGGTTTTTAGGTTTATTTATAATGGGTGCATTTGGCTCCTCAGGTAATAGTTAATAAACTGATTAAGTGTTTGTGTTGTTTGTTCCGGCCTCATTGGTGCAAGTTTGATTTTAACAACATTTTCATTGAAAGATTACAGAGACGATATCAATGAAACCCTCAAAACCCTAACGTGAGAGACGGTAAAAGACTGAAAAGAATCAAAAACAGTTTCTTCTTGATTGATTTTCTCTGGAAACCACCTCCGCATTAGGAGTTAGTTCATACTTTGGTAAAATGAAATTACAGCTCCAGAACTTTTACTAAACAACAGCACAGACTCTTGGGCTGGACAGCTTTAAAAGACCTTGAGATTATGAAACACATAATAAAAAATGAATAAAAATAGTAACTAGAGAAATTGTATTTCCTGCGAAAATGCAATGTGAATGCTTATTGCAGAACATGCTTAAAAAAACATGCTGAAATGTAAATGAAATGGAAGAACAAGCCTACAAGTTAGCAGAAGAAAGCAGGAAGAACACATTTTACTAAATCAGGTTTAAATAAGCAGAAATTAGCACAAAAAATTAGGAAATTAGCGAAAAAAGCTGAAATTAGCATGGAAAATAGCAGAAAAGGCAGAAAGAAGCTTAAACTACCAGAAACAGAAGGAGCTGAAAAGAGCACATACAATGTGTAGTTAGCTGATAATTCTAAATTTAGAACAAAACAGCTAAATGGCTGAAATTGCAGAAGAATCTGCAACTAACAGAAAAAAGCTGAGAGGATCATAAAGATGTTAAATAGGCTGAAAGAAGCAGAAATAACTACTAAAAACTTGAATTTATCTGAAAACAGCTTAAATGAGTGAAAACTGCTAAAAGGATAGCTAAAATGCTAGTACAAGCTTAAATTAGAAGAAGAAAGCAGAAAGAACATGTTTGCCCAATTAGACTGAAAGAAGCAGAAAGCACCAAAAAGTGGAAATTATTTGAAAAAAGCTGAAATTAGCACAAAAAAAAATGTTAAGTGGTAGCTGAAACAGCAAAAAATGCTGCAACTTGCAGAAATCAGCTGAAAGGAGCATAACAAGATGAAACTAGCAGAAAAAGTTAGAAGAAGCACAAAAATGTAGTTGGCAGAAATAATCTGAAAGAAGCAAAAAAAAAAAAAACAGCTGAAATTAGTTGAAAGTAGCTGAAGAAAGTTTAAATTTGCAGAAGGAAGCTGAAAGAAGCTGAAGCAGAACAAAATGTGAAAGGATCAGTAAAAGGTTGTAAACACATCTAAAGATCTGAAGGATGTAAAATGAGCTCAACACATTTTCTATGAGAAAAAAAATGTCAGAAAAGGCTAAATATTCCATAAAGTTGCACCAAAACCAAAAGTCAGAGCAGGATTGTCCTGAACAAGATGAACATATTAATTCATGATTTGTTGCAACAGCTGAAAACTGCAGGACGAGGCTGAAAAACATATGGCAGAGAATAGATCACAATAGTGTGAACACTTTGTGAACATCCACACTGTTAAAAACTGTTTCAGGACAGAAAACGTCTAAATCAAACTAACGAAGCAAACTTCATCTAATGTTGGGTTTTGACTAATTCACACGACGCTTTGAGAATAGTTGCATTGTTGTCTCTAACTGCCTTTAAAGGAACGAGAAGTAAAACGATTATCACAGGGTCCATTTATTGCTATAAGAAACAGATTAGTACGTGTTTGTGCATCGTTTCTCTGTGGTGGATAGCTACAAGAGTCTGGTCCAGCCCAAACCTGAACGCAGCAGGAATCTGGGCCCTGCAGTGGGTTCATTACCATGGCTTGCTCCATCGGAACGATCTGCTGTCTGTGGATCTGCCTCAGAGAGCTGACATGGCCTTTGAGAGCCGTCTGCAGAGGTCCCCTGGGCTGAAAAGCACAGACACCACAAGTCATTTTCATCTTTTATCAAAGACCTGGAAGAACAGGAGGGCCATATTTTATGAAATCCCTTTTTTTTGTTAATTTACTGTCACATAATATAAAACAATTAGCATTTTTTCTTTCTCATCCATCAGATCTGTCAAACAGCGACACCAGGAAAAGAAACAAATGCTCTTATCTTATTCAGAGGCCATATATTTTATTATCAATGACAGGTGAGTCCGCAAGAACACAAGCTGCGACTTTGAGCTGATTCCTGCTTCGAAATGTCCATTTGCAGTTTAATAAACGTGTTAGCTAAAAGCCTGAGAGCAGTCGAACAGCACGAGAAGTCTGTTTGTAGGCATGTTGAAGGTGCTTGTGTAACAGGAACCACACTGCTAATAAGTAAATTAAATCAAGGTGTATGAAGGCAAAAGAAAATTACGGAATTCTTGAAGGAGAACCAGAACAGCTAACATCTTCTTACCATGAGGTCTGTTTGAGACTCCAGTTCTTTGGCGAATGAGAGCACATCGACTGCCGTTACTCCTTTATTCACCTACGGATGGGACAGAATCGTTAAAGGAGATCGTGTAAACACTTTGAGCAGCTTAATCCTTTCAAAGCCCCTGTGTGTTTAACCGGGTTAAAGTCACCTTTAAAGGTACTTCATCTTAGATCAACAGATGGAACGGGAATAAGAAATAAAAACAAACCATGAAAAACCAAGAAAAGCTCGACGGGCTTCAGGTTCTGCTAATTAAATAGTCTCTCTTGAAAATGAGTCTTCGTGGCTCAATGAGTCTAACCTGGATAAATTAAGGTTAAATAAAAATAAAAATCATTCAGCCGTAAGCATTCACTGCAGTTTTGCAGGAAATGCAGCTTCTTTAGTCGTTATTAATGATCCGAGTGGTTTTTAGACCTGAACACGTCTTCACTAAGAGAGCTCCCATCAGGTATCAAGACGCAGCTCCTGCGACGCCAGCGATAACTTCGACATTGATCCTCCATACGGTCGGTTCAAGCAGCTTCTAAAATCTCTTCATGAACATGCCTGGTGTGTTTTTCATAAACTGTTTTCTTCAATTCCGCCTGTGTAAAATAATGCCATCATTTATCATTCGCTGGGTTGTTTCTTTATTTGAGGTTTTATTTATGCAAATTTAACAGTGCAGTCAAAATGAAGGTAACAGGAAGTCCATTCCATGGTGTAGTTTTAAAGTGGACAGTGAGGACACAGAGGTTTTATTTGTCTAAAACATCTAGAAAAGTTCTGTTGGTTTTAGCACTCAGGTCTGAATCTAAGTGGACCTGACAGTCTGGGCAGGGGACGACAGCTCAGCTCTGCACGTCCGTTGCCTCGGCAGAATTGAATTTTGGATAAATGAGCTTCAGCGGTTCCAGGAGAACTCAAGAGTTCTGCGTCACGTCGCAGCACACAGCAGGTAAAACCCGACTGCTTCACGCCGACAGCAGAGCAGGCGGCAAATAGTCAGAGCCAGCATTTGTGTGTTTATGTCTGTTTGTTGTCAGGGACTGCCTGTCTGTTTGTTTGTCTGTTAGCAAAATATCTCATGAACCATGTGGATGAAGTTTAAAGAAACCCTCAAAGAAAGTGATCATTGAATCTTCATCTACAAGTGATTAACTTTTGGAGTCTGTCTGATTTACAGCCATCATAGCCAAATAAATGCAAAAACACAAAAATGATACTTTTACAGATACTGAGCTAGGATTCGGAGTAGTAGTAGCTGACATGCATCCCCGACACATACTCTGAGCGTGACTTCTTGTGACATCGCATGAGACTGCCATAATGTTATTGTCAGTTTGAACAAAACAAGTACAACTCTGATATTTCAAATTCAATTCAATTCAAAAATACTTTATTAATCCCAAACAGAAATTAAATGTTGTTGTAGCTCGTTATCCTCATTTCATTAAGAGATGTTACAGAAACTGATGGCTGTAGGCAGGAAGGATCTCTTGTAAGGGTCCATCCCACAGCGAATCCGAAGAAACTGGCCGCAGATGCGTCCACCCAGACTCAGGTGGACTCTGGTTACCCCGGGCTGCAGGACCTCCCCAATGCTGGGTAGAACTCCTCCCAGCAGCTGCCCAGCTCCTTGTCGCTGTGGACAGCCAGTTGCAGGTGCTGGGGGACAATCCCGGTCCTTTTGCTGCCACGAGCCGTGCTTCCTGCCAGTTCCAGGATCTCAGTGGTCAGGCACTTGAGCACAGTCGGCAGGGAGACGGGAATGCATCCACGGAGCCTCCTTTTTAACTCATTTGAGATTTGGGGCTGTAGCTGAGATATTATTTGAACTTTTGAGTTGTTAATCAGCTGCTTCTAGTTGTTAAAAACCACTTTGCTATCATGGTTACACATAGTAACAAATGGCCATAAGTAAAAAAAGTTTCAGTAAAAATCCTTCCAGCTGCTCAGCATCCGATACCAAAGGAAACAATGATCCAAAAAAAAAGTGATTTACATCCAGAAAAAGAGGAATTGAAGTTTCCAAAAGCAACACCTCAGAATGAAAGTAACAGAGCTGCTCCAACATGCAGCCACCCCAAGCGGTACAGTTCTACAATCAAGATTAATTAATTAAGAATTTCTTAATGTAAGGCATGAAAGGTGGGTTGGTACTGGGTGATATGCATTACTTCAAGGAAAGCAAGACCTTAAAATAATTGATTTATTATCTTTTAAGCTGATATACTGTCATGTTTTAATGCGTTTGTGTGTTACCTCTTCCAGGTAGTCGGCGTAGTTGATCTCTGACAGTCCTGCTTCAGAGAAGTCCCGGAGGTTCTGCTTCCCTTCGGCCTCTAACAGGGTTATCCCTCTCAGGTCAATCCTGACGCTCTCCAGCTGCCTCACCACATCTTTAGTAAACTGTAAACAAAATGACAAGATAACAAGCTTTAACGGAGATGTTAGATCTCATTTACTGTTGCTGAATGTCAAACATGTTAATGTTATAATAAAAACTTATTCTTTCATCTTTGTACTTTGTACTATCAACTCTAAGTTATGAGAAGGATACAAATGAAATGATAAAATTAACTCACTAAAAATTTTTGACAATAATAAGGTAAAATGAAGATGATGCACCTATTAATGCAAAAACAACTAAGATTTATTTGTATTTATGTTTAGGTTTTATCTTCACAGTAACCCAAGAGTTGATCTCAGAAGACAGAAAAAGGAAGCTGTCTGAAACACTCACTGAAAAGAGAAGACGTCCAACATGATAAATATCTACACATTTATACCCAATGACAGCTACAAGTCTTAATTATGAAAGCCTCAGATTTCAGGAAGTGCTTATAAGATTTTCTGGCATTGATGAAGACAAATGAAGGAGGTCCAGCAACCAATCAGCTGCCGGCAACGTAGAGCCGAGGATGGACTGCCAACGGGCGAAAAGGCACAGAACGTCTGGGCAGGAAGCTGGTCCAGGGTCAGCAAGAAAAAAAAGTAGAATATTATAATGTTTAAGACATATGCTTCATTTGAATCTTAATTTGATCAGCTGTCAGCACAGATTCTGGTTGGACCACAAAAATATGAAGTTAGTGCAGCCAAAACAAGATTCTGGAACATTAACTTTGCTTAACAGTTTTAGTTCAAGTTAAAATTATCTTTGCAGCTGAATGTGTTTTTTTTGTTGAATTTGATTTCCAAGATACCAAATAATAAAAAGCAAACTCAAAACCTGCCTTCATATTTCAATATATTTGGAAAAAACTTCCCCCACAAAGACAGCACAGCAGCGCAGTTGGTAGAGCTGCAGCCTCTCAGCGAGAAGGTTGCTGGATCAAATCCCAGCCGGGCACCTTTCTGGGTGGAGTTTGCATGTTTTCTCCATTTTGGCTGAGTTTTCTCTGGGTACTCTGGTGTACTCAGCATCAGAAGCGCTTCAATGTGGGGTACTGCAGGGGTCCATCCTCGGTCCTCTTCTCTTTTCTTTATACCTGCTACCACTAGGTGCTACTTTCTGTAAACATAACATTCCATTTCATTTCTACGCTGATGAATGTAAAATTACTTCCCTAGGAAGCACACTGGTGCACGTTCTGTTTAGCCTCTTCTTGACTGCCTGGCTCACATCAGGGACTGGATGGCTTTAAATTTCTTAAGTTTCAATGAGAAGAAGACTGAAGTCATGCCGTTTCCTCTAAATGACACAATCAAGAACCACCACATCGACTTAATGACACAATCAAGAACCACTGCATCGACTTTCCTCTCTAGCCCATTAGAGAAACACAGTCACAAATCTAGGAGTGATAATGGACCCTTACAGTCATGTAAATATGATTGTTAAATCCTGTGTTTTTCAGTTGAGGAAACTGTCTAAACTGAAGCCCAGACTGTCCAAAAATAACCTTGAGGCAGTAACGCATGCATTCAGAACATCCAGGCTTGATTACTGCAATGCACTTCTGTTTGGAATCAGTCGGACCTTCATCGCACTATTATAACTGGTTCAAAATGATGCAGTCTGATTTTTAACTGGTTCAGGCAAAATAAAGCACATTACACCAGTTCTGCCCTTCCTACACTGGCTCCCAGTTCACTTTCGAATTCAGTTCAAAATCATTCTGCATGTTTTTAAATCTCTGAACAGTTCTGCCCCCTCTTATCGCACTGATCTGCTGCAGCCATATGTTCCATAGCGCTCTCTGAGGTCATCAGACCAGATGCTCCTAGTGGTTCCAGGAACCCGTCTCAAACTCAGAGGTGGCAGGGCCTTCTCTGTTGCAGGTCCAAGACTGTGGAATGAGTTACAACTACATGCCAGGCAGGCTCCCTCTCTCACTAAGTCTCGTTTAAAAACTCATTTTATTCCCTGGTTTTTGACACAGTGTGATTTGTTTTTAATCCTGTCTGTACTCTATGCCTTTTAGTTATTATATTTTTCCATTTGGACCTATGTTTTTATCCTGTGTCCTTTGCTCGTTTGTTTTTCCTGTACAGCACTTTGGTTGGCCTTGCTTCTGTTTTAAGGGTTTTATAAATAATGTGGTATGGTATTCCCACAGACCAAAAACATGCATGTTAGGCTGATTGGTAACTCTAAAGTGTCAACTCATTTTGATCTAATTTATAGCACCATGTAATGGGTGAACAGCGTGAATCCTGTTTAAAGCCTGGAAATAAGTTCTTGTTTTACCCCCCACGCTGAATAAATCATGGTTTTATTATGTTTAAGGTTTATTTCTCATAATTACCAAGTCCTGAGTACCAAACAAGCTGCAGCTTGACTCAGTGCTACTTCTGCTTCGTGTTAAAGGAACTAACCAGCGTTGTGTTCAAGAAAGAAGAAATGTTGAAGACTTTGTCCAGACGCATGGCGGAGTAGATGCCTCTGTTCTTTTTGCAGGTACTGTTAATGAAGACAGCAGAGAAATGAGAAAAAAGGAGAAAGACAAGTTAATACGGTATAAATTCAGTCAAAGTGAACATGTTTGCTGCCACCAAGTGAAAGTGACTGGAAGTACAAAACTAACGAGATGAAAACAGAATATCACACAGAAGCCAGAAACGTTTGCTGATATATAAAAAAACAAATGTGCCATCCATCAGATAGTCTCACTGTGTAATCTGTGTTTTCTTCCTAGCATGTAAAGATGCCCTCTCTTTGTAAATATAATGATTTTAATTCTGCCATCCCAGAATCCTCGTGTTAGAGGGCGATGATGAAGGCTTATGCTATCACAAAAACTGACAGTAGAAAAGCGGCTCTGATGCTGTAGAGATGATAATAATTAGCTTCACCAGCTGACAACAAAACTGTTCATTTGCATTCCCACCCATGGAAACGATCTGCTCACTTGAATGCTTGCTGCTAAAAGTAACGACTAGGAAGAAGCTCACGATTTAATAGTTCAGCTGTAGTAAAAAATACTTTTATTTGTGTCTGTAAATTATAGATGGTGAGAAGGATGTCACTAAAGCCTCATTTCAAAAGATTTTCTTTAGACTGTAACAAATACAATAGTGCATAAAAAATATTTAGCCACTTCAATTTCTTTATTAGACTTTTAAAAAAAACTCACTCTTATTTTCACGGTGGCATTGAGCATGCATGTTTATATCTACATAATGTATATCTATATTTATATCTATCTAGATCAATAGGAAAAAAACGCACAAGCTGTAAAATGTAACTTTTATCTGTTAGTTGCATCTGGGCACAAAGACAATGTTTGTAAAAAAAAAAAAAAATACACATTTATTCTTCTTTGGTTTTATGTTTTGGAATTTTTTTTGTAGGTTCAGTTATAGAAATGTTAAAATTTGGTCATTATTAAAGTCTGTCTGTCTGTCTGTCTGTCTGTCTGTCTGTCTGTCTGTCTGTCTGTCTGTATGTATGTATGTATGTATGTCTGTATGTCTGTATGTCTGTATGTCTGTATGTCTGTATGTATGTATGTATGTATACACATCTCTTATTTATCAAGTACTCGTGTCCACAACATGCATGAACAGCCTGATGGATGGATTGTTCTCCTCTCTCTGTTCTGTGAATAATCTGGCTTTGGGGAGGCAAAGTTTAAAGAGTTGAGGGAACAGATGTTGCAACACCACGGTACATGGATGTATACAAATGTTGTGTACCTGTACAGACTTTCTACTGTCAGCTCTAAGTTGGAGTCATTGTACATGTAGCCGGGGATGAAATTCTTCCACTCAGGGTTGATTAAATAAGGCGTGTCCACAACCTGATGGATACAGAGAACAGGGAATGAAGCATTTTTTTTCCTGCAATGCTGGTTTATCAGTATTTGTTTTGTTTTTTTAAACAAACAAAAAAAAAAACACGTATATACGTTAATCACAATGTAGGAAAAAAAAACAGCTAGATTTTTACAGAGGTTTTCTTGTGGTTAAACAGATTAGGAGCTATTATCTACTATATTCAAGCTGGTTCTCCACATTATTCTGATTTCTTTAACAAAACAGCAACCAGGGGTCACAGCAAGATGCTGCAAGAATCAGATTCAGCATCCACTTATAATTTTTCTATTAATAAGTTACATTTTTAGACCTGTTTAAGCTATTTCCAATCACGTTCCCTGCTTTAGAAGCTCGTGAACTTGGAGCTAAATTGGAATTCCACTGCAGCACGTTAAGATGAGACTTAATGAGCTCTGACACACCTCATCCAGTAGTTGATGTATTATCATTTAGCATCTCATGTTCTGCTGAGCACCCACGTGTTAAAATCACGTGTTAAAGCAGAGAAACATCTAAAACATGCAGGATAGTGGACCTAAAGATTGTTCTCCACTGACTTAGCAGATAAGATTTATGGTACGAACACTGTAAAAATATTAAAGACAAATGTTTTTAGCAGTGCTAAGTGTTGTGTCTTGAAAATGATTAAAATAAGACTTAAACGTTATTCAGTACTTTAGTTTCAGTGGAAGTTTTATTGTTATTTTGAACAATGTGACCTATGTGTCCCAGTTTTTGTGGTATTTATACCTTGAAGAGCTCTTTGGTGTGGAACGGCTCACAGATCAGCTTCTCCATGTTCCCTCCAGCCAAGAAGATGGCGGTCACCACTCCCATCAGCACCCAGGAGAAAATGAAGCTAAATCCAACACCACTGGAGAACAGAGACGTTTCAGGTAAGGCAGTGACTGCAGCGTAACGTCTCTGGACAAGAAGGACTAAAGTCAAACTCTTGGATCATCAGAAACAGCCTTATACTCTGCAAACATTTAGCTTCATTGTCTCATGTTCTTAAACTATTTTAACGATCAACGATCATGTTAGGAATACGAACCAACATTTAATTTGTTGCAGAGACTTGAGTTAGTCCTCGACTTACGCCATGAGAAGCGTTCCGCCCGTGTTCGAGACGCATCCACGTGTCGTAGGTGAGGCGTGCTTGTCGTATCCCAGAGTGCCGCACAGCAGGCCCAGGTAGTTGAAGGCCAAGACCAGGACCACCATGCAGCAGAGAGCGATGCAGCCGATCCATCTGCAAACACCCAGCAGATCTAAATGAAGTCCACGGTGTTTTACTTCCTGCATCTCCGCCTGCACTCCGCAAAGTTTGGTCTCAAGCAGACAAAACTACTCTGAAGCCCCTGGAGTCAGTGTTCAAACATGCACGTCACCGTTGTAATGTACTTTTTAAACACAAGTTGTAGAATTTTGAAAATATGATTACATTTGGAAACGTACAAATAGTATTTAAAACGATACCTGGCTCTGCACCCCCACCTCTAAACTCATTCATCAGACCTCTGAGATGTGAACAGAGTAACAAGGACCGCCTCTAGATGGGAGTGCAGGATTCCTAAATGGGAAACTACATTTGGACAATGAGATTTTCATACCAGGTCCAAAGGACTGGACTGGAACCCCCCACCCCCCACCCCTACTAGCACAAACTACAGAGCCTTGTCAGCACTGACTTTTAACTTTTTAAATACAAATAATACTCTGATCAGAGTCAAAGCACATTTCCATAAGAATTGTTTTTGTTTGAGGAGTTCAAGTATCTCAGGGTTTTATTCACGAGTGAGGGAGGAATGGAGCGTGAGACTGACAGACAGACTGGTGCAGCGTCTGCAGTATTGCGGACTCTGTGCCGGTCCGTTGTGGTGAAGAAGGAGCTGAGCTGTAAAGCAAAGCTCTCTGTTTATGGGCCAGTCTACGTTCCTACCCTCACCTATGGTGAGACAGGGTGAGAAGTTCAGTTATCAGGAGAGACTCGGAGTAGAACCGCTGCTCCTCCACATCTAAAGGAGCCAGTTGAGGTGGTTCAGGCATCCGGTAAGGATGCTCCCTGGGCGCCTCCCTAGCGAGGTGCTTCAAGAATGTCCGACTGGGAGGAGACGCCAGGGAAGACCCAGGACATGCTGAGACTATGTCTCTCGGTTGACTGGGAACGCCTTGGAGTCCTCCCAGAACAACTGGAAGAGGTGACTGAGGAAAGAGATGTCTGGACCTCCCTGATCCAGCTGCTGCCCCCGAGACCTGACTTCAGAACAAGTGGAAGATGATGGATGGATGAATATTTTGTGTAAGTAGTATGTTTTTGTTTCTACTCTGATTTTTACGTAGACTTATTTCGTATCTTGTCTTGCCTTCTGTCTGGTACAATGCATCTTTACTCCCTTTGAGTTTAATGTTTTTTTTTCTGTTCATGGTCCCTGACAAAGAAACAAATAAAGATTAAAAAACTTTATCTAATTTTAGCTTATTAAAGGAACTTTTTCTACTTTTGTGAATAACCATTGTTGAAATCATAGTGAAATTGTCTTTTTTTTTTTTTTTAAATCTACATTTCACCTGTAAAAGTCCAGTTTGTCAATTTCAGGGTAGTAGTCTTCGATCTTTGCGTGCACGTGGTTGATGAAGATGGTGAAGTTGGACAGACAGGTCTGCACGGGGAAAGCTCTGGAAAAGCTGCTGATGTTTTTGCCGATCCCATCCATCAAATTCTGCACACCTGGAAGCCACACCAGTTAATCTTTCAATGTTTCAGACGCTGTCAGCAGAAAAACAACTTTTAAAAAGTGACTCACTGCTGACGACACTTCTGGTTTGCTCTATCACCGTCTGTGGAGTGTCATTCAACGAGGAGAAACCCTGTGAAGGAAAACGGTTTTGTTATTTAGCTGAGCTCCGAGATGCACTGAAAGGGTTACGTTTAAATTTTAATAGTATTCAGAGGTGAAAATAAAAGTAAAATCCTCCTCATTCGTTTCCTCTCACCCTTTGGACAACCGAGCTCAGATCTGTTCTCATGACGTTGTTCATCTTTTCCAGCTGAGGGTTCACATCTGGAAGCTAAAACAAAGAGAAACACTGATGATCATGCACACAGCTGACTCCGGTGTCCCCCCTCGCTGACGGATTTGAACAGTGAACGTTTGTAGTTTTGGAGATGAATGTTTTTCTGGACTGGAATTGATCAGGGAATGCAGGTAAACCTAAATGTTTTAAGGTGAAAGATATTCAGGTGGGTAGGAGTTACACCATGGAGAAAAGAGGTGGATTTTATTTGTTTGTTTGGTCTTTTGCTTGTCCGAGGCGGCGCAGAGTTGTGGAACCTGGCGAGCGGAGGGAGCCATTTTATCCAATACCAAGTGCATTAGTGGAGCCAGGGGGTGGCCAGTGGTGGCCGTGACCACCACAGATTAACCTTTGACCACCCCAATCATTTGAGGAAGGAATACTTTTAAGCCTATCTAACAAGGTTGAGTCAGGTCCTCTGGAGAGATTCTTCTTTGTTGAAACATTTCATCTTTTACCCAAAAGGAGCTGCAACAAACTCAGTCTTATAAATAGCACCTTCTCATGGTGGATCATCCAGTTTGCTGCTGACATCCAGAACTAGCTGTTCACATGATCAAGGAGGACCATCAACCTAACGACTGATCATTAGTGCTCTGATGGCTGCTTGCTTTTCACAGGGGGCTGAGTGATACTAGCAATAAGGGGACAGTTAGACACGGAGGCTCCGCCCCTTTTTAATGATTGACTATTTCTCTTCACAAAGATGGCCTCCTTTACTCCTCTCTCAAACCATCGTTCCTCTCTATCAATGATGTGACCATCTTCATCCTTGAATGAGTGACCTCTGACCTGCAGATGAGTGTAGACCGCAGAGTCCTGGCCTGATGATGTTGATCTTCTGTGCTGGTCCATCCTTTTGGCCAGTGGCTGTTTAGATTCCCCCATGTAAAACTGATCACCCTCATGGCACTGAACGGCTTACACAATATTGCTCTGTTTGTGTCAGGGGACTGGATCTTTAGGATGGACCAGTCTTTGCCGTAATGTATTTTGGGGTTTGAAAGCCACTGGGACATCGTTCATTCAACCTTTATTTATACAGGTTAGTCCCATTGAGCCTCGGGACTCATTTACAAGAGAGACCTTTCGTGTTTAGAAAAAAAACACGTCTCGTTGACTCACTTTTACTTTTAAGCAGTGTAGTTTCCTCAAATGATTGGAGTGTTCGGCTTCCATTAATGAATGGTGGTGGCCATTTTGGATTGTAATGAGGCAACCCAATTTTATATAGTGACCTGTCTTAAGCTGAGATGTAGCCACGCACCAACATGGAAGTCGGCGCCTTATTTATTTTTCAAGTTATTGTGCTCACAACGTGCACAAATGGACAGATGTATGGACGACTGCGTTACCAGTTGTCCCTCTTGGCTCCGTGATGGGAGACGATAAATGAGTTTCCTCATAAAGCAAGTCTAATAAAGGATTTGTTACATCAAGGGAGCTGAAGGGTGTAAAAAGTTGAAGTTGTATAAAAATGTTCAGTTTGTTCACTTTAAGTGCTCGGTCACAGAGCGCTGTGAGAAACAAACAGCTCAGCTTGTTCAGAGGCAACATTTGACTTTAAGTCAGTCTTCGTTGTACTTTGTACTTTAACTGTAACTTTTTACTGTTCGACGTGTCCTGTTCCAAGTCAGACCACGATTTGCCTGAATTTTCTTCCTGTCATGTTTCACTAGTTCACACTAGCAGCTTCCTTTCTTTAATGTGGGCACAAAAACTTACAGTTGGCAATTTCATCAAACCCAAAACGTTTTAACAAAGCTCCGTTTTCACTTAAGTTCATTTTGGAGTAAACAAGAATTTTGATAGTTTTCAGGTAAATGCACACCTGAGTAATGCTTTGAATTAGACTAAACTTATTATTTCATGCAAGTTGCTGCAGAGATTGGATGTTGTTTTATGATTTACTCGTTCTGGTGGCTGCTCATTAGAGATAAGGGTTGAAAAGCAAATACACAGTTCATGTCAGGATGCACAGGAACGGGTTTGTACCCGGGTGAAGTTGGCACTGATCTGCAGCTGGGACAGAGACCGGCGGATGTTGTGGCACAGCTGGGCCGTGGTGGCGTCCGAGTCTTCGTCCCGGCAGCCGGGGTCGTCGAGCGTGCGGTTGATCCTGCTGCGGACTTGGCTCAGGTTGAAGTCCAGTCTCCCCACTCCTTCCTGCAGCACCACTAGAGATGCGCTGACGTTCTCCAGGGCCTCCTTGGTTTCTCGCATGGCTGGAGTCAAACAGAACGCAGATGAGACCGGAGCTGGAGACCACAATCTGAGGAGTACGATGCTCGACAGGACTAACATCTGATACAAATATCTGATTGATCAAAGAGTCATGCGGTCTGTATAATGACTAGACTCTGTACTTTTTATTGAAAAAAAATTAAACATTCAACCAATATTTTGAAGTTAGTTTGAAATTAATTGTGTTTTTTTTTTTTTATGGGGTAGTTTTTCTACAAGTTTATGCATCTTAACTCAAAATGAGCCTGTGACGGCAGTACCTGCAGCCACACAGTAAACAAAGGCTGAGGTACTAAATTAATCTATATCCATCCATCCATCCATCCATCCATCTATACTCTATATACTCTATCTGTATTTTAAGGGAAGTTATTAAACAGCAGAGTAATGAGATGACTTATTTTACTCTCTCAAACCAGCCCAGTGGCTCAGCTGAATGTACGACACTTTGGACTGTACCACCAACAAACAGAACAGACCAGGAAAAGACAGTTTATTTAATGTGTGTTTCTGTTGTTGCACACATTAAACTCACACAAAGAGGCGAAAGTGGAATAAAACCAAAGACCTTTAGGACTACAACACTTGGATTTACACCTGTAAAAACTTAGTTTGTTTGTGTGTTTTATGGGCAGTAAATTGAAAAAATGGAAATCTATTATTGATTTTTTTTTTAATTGGATAACTTTTTTAGGGCGGCGCAATTGGTGGAGCTGTTGACTCTCAGTCAGAAAGTCGCCGGTTCAAATCCTGACCAGGGGGCTTTCTGGGTGCAGTTTGCATGTTCTCTCCGTGCATGCGTGGGTTTTCTCCGGGTACTCCGGTTTCCTCCCACAGACCAAAAACATGCATGTTAGACTGATTGGTAACTCTAAATTGTCTCTGGGTGAGAGCGAGAGAGAGAGAGAGAGAGAGAGAGAGAGAGAGAGAGAGAGAGAGAGAGAGAGAGAGAGAGAGAGAGAGAGAATGGTTGTTTGTCTCGTTTGTCTCTATGTGTCCCTGTGATGGACAGGAGACCTGTCCAGGGTGTCCCCCACCTTTTGCACAATGACTGCTGGACATGGACACCAGTGAACCCCATGATCCGAAAAGGAAGAAGTGGGTAAAGATGGATGGATAGAAGATGGATGGATGGATGGATGGATGGATGGAAGATGGACGGATGGACAGACGGACGGATGGATGGACAGACGGACAGACGGATGGATGGATGGACGGATGGATGGAGAACTGTTTTAGAAGTTTTTTTCTGTGCAGCAGCCAGTGTTGGTCAACAACCAGAATGGTGTGCAGTAACTTTGAAAATGTAAACACAACAACAACAACAACAACAACAACAACAACAACAACAACAACAACAACAACAACAACAACAGGTATTTTTTATACAGAAGGAAAAAGGCAAGTGTAGAAACAGGAACACTGACAGATACATTTTTAGCTGCTCTGTGAAAATACAGACGGTGTTTGAATAAATGTTCACATCTGTACGTACATCAGAGAAAAATCCATTTTTTAATAAATTCTAATTCCTGAATTTCACCACAAAATAAATAAAGCTGCGTCAACCAGCTTCCTTTGACAGTTTGGTTCAGCAGAAAGCGTTTCAAAACGTCTGCACGAATGACGATAAACCGCCTGATCTATTAACCTGGTTTAGTTTAAATCAAATGGCGGGTCAGACACGCACCTCCTCCCAGAGATCACGGCTGAAAAACTGGTCATTTTAAGGTTTTGGACAAATTAGCAGATGCCATTTAAAACTGCATTATTCAGAATATTTATACGAAACAGTATATTTTTTGTTTAGACTGTGTATTTTAATAAAAACAACAAATCATCAAAAAAATGACTGATTTGTAGCAAACCAGTCCAAAATTATACATAAACTTCAGTACCAACTCATGTTGAGTCTCCGAGAACCAAATTTAGATGCAAGAACTCTTAAAGTTGCAAAGAGCAGCTTTAATCACCGTTTATCATGAAAATGTAAGTCGGGGCTTAAAAGAGTCCAACTCCTCCAGGAAGCAAACAAAAGGAACAAACAGCAGGAACAAACTGGACAGTTACTGACATGCTGTTACCTTTCATGGCTCTCTGGATTTTCACTTTGTGGAAAACAGAACGTAAACGTTATAAGGAAGAGTCAATGAGGCGCTCGCAGGAAAACTTAGATGTGCATTTCTCAAAAACAGATTCATCCTTCAGTTTCAAACATGCACTTAACAACATCCGATTAATCTACTTTTTACTTTGTATAACTTTGATCTGAACTGAAAGGACGGAAAGTGAATGATGTACCTCCAGCCATGTTCAGCACCTGATCCAAGGCAGGATGAACCTCCTTATCCAGCTGTTCATGCAGCCTTCCACCCAGTATCGGACCTACATCTGGAAGAAAACAAGCTCAAGGTGTAAAATCGTATTTAACACTTTCATTCAGTTACTGCCACCTTTATTTACTAAGAAACATTCAATCTAAACTTCAAAGCAAACATTTTACACATAAACAAGAGTAAGGCACATTTTACCTCATATATAATATTATTATATTATCGAACAAGAAAAAGACTTCTTCAGTCCTGAAGACTGAAGAAGTCTTTTAGATGAAAGACGAAACGTTTCAACATGAAGAGTGCGTCCAGATGACCTGACTTAACCTTGCTAGATTATTCTACCTGGATTATTGAGCAGCATCAGGAAATTATTATATCCATTACAGATCTTAATGTTCCATAGTTTCCTAACAGAGCACTTCGCTCTCAGACTGCAGATTGACTTGTGGTTCCTAAAGTTTCTAAAATAAGAATGGGAAGCAGAGCTTTCAGTTGTCAGGCTCAATTCAATTCAATTTAATTTAATTTCATTCAGTTTATTTATATATCTCCAAGTCACAACAGAAGTCGTCTCAGGACACTGAACAGAAACATTCATGTAAAAAATAATAATTGAACATTATTTATCTGAGGAGCAGCTTTGAGTTTAACTCCATCACAGAACTCTCATCCTGAACAAGCATGAAGGCGACAGTGGAAAGAAAAACTCCCTCATGAGGAAGAAACCTTTAGCAGAACCAGCTCAGGACAAGAGGACCATCTGCTTCGACCGGCTGGGTTTGGTAGGAACAGATACACAATGGCAGGTCAAGAATCACATGTTAAGATAGAAATAGTATCAAATGAAAACTATTAAATTTTAACAATTCATTTAAGGAAATGAGGTCAGTTTGTCCTCTAGTAGTATAAACCTATAGCAGCAGCCTGAGAACTGAAAGTTCTTCCTCCCATTCTGCTTTTGGAAACTCTAGGAACCACATGTAAACCTGCAGTCTGAGAGTGAAGTGCTCTGTTAGGAAAATATGGAACGATAAGATCTGTAATATAAGATGGAGCCAGGTTGTTGAGGCTCCTCTCTTGTGGAACCAACATCCAGTTTCTGTCCATGAGGCTGACACAAAATAGGCTCGTCTTTCCTTTTTGATAAATCCTATAGCTAGGGTTGGCTTAGGTTTCCTGACCTATCACTTAGTTTTGTTGCTATAGGCTTAGACTACTGGATGACAAATCGACCTCATTTCATCAAATTAATAGTTCGTATTGTAATTATTTCTATCTTAACATGTTTTTTTTAACGTTTTCAGCTAGTGAAGGACCTGCTCTCCTGCTCGCCTCCGTCCTGGACCTGTCATTCTATGTCCGTCTGTTTCTACTTCCTGTCCTCTGAAAACCAGCCGGTTGAAGCAGATGGCCGCTCGTCCTGAGCCTGGCTATGCTGGAGGTTTCTTCCTGTTATGATCAAGTTTTTCCTTTCCACAGTCTCCTTTGTGCTAGCTCAGGATGGGAGAGTGTGATGAAGTGAAGACTCAACACAATCTGCTGGTTCCTCTACCCTCCCTAAGATAAATAATGTTAATAATTGAATTTTTACGTACCCGGTATATAAGTGTTTCTGTTCAGTGTCCTGAGATGACTTCTGTTGTGACTTAGTGCTATATAAATAAACTGAATTGAATTATACGCTCGTCGACAAACAGCAAGCTAGAGCAATGACCCAGACAAGCAAAGACTTTTTAAACGTTGACCTTGATTTGTGACCTTGAAGCTGTGGTGATAAAATAATATGCGAGACAAGAGAACGTTTACAGACAGGTGTACAGATATACAATACACCACAATCTGTCCACCTTTCCATGTGTGCATGAACATTAAAGTAAAGTCCTAACATTGTTTTGCAATCCTCAACTTTCAAGAAAGAAGTGCCAGTAGAGAACTCTCAGGGGAACCTGCATAAAGTCACAGCTGTGGGAATCTAGACCCAGAACTGTCTAATCAGTAATGAGATGGAAAAAGGAAACAAACACGATACACAACCAAGTTTAAGGACTCACTGAATCATTTATGCCCACTTAATTCACGATCTGAGGCGAGGAGGAGGTCTACTTACTATCTAGGTCATAGATGACTTTGTTCTTGGCTGTGGCGTACCGAGATATTAGGTAATCGATTTGCTGCAAACAGGAAACAGAGCAGTCTTAGTCCATTAGTCACATTTCTACTTCTGAAAAACACCTGGTTGAACCTGTTCATGCGGAGAAAATGATGATTTTTGTGTTCAAGACTCGATGAAAAAGCTCGAGACTGAGACTGAAATCCAGAGATTTAGACGTTTCATTGAAATGTTTGTTTTGAAGCTTTGCAGCTATTCTTAAAGCAAAATAGGTGCGATAGCAGTTTTTTCCCACCTTGAAAGGAGGACATCAAAGCAGCGTGTGATGGGGAAGGTTCTCCGTCAGCCCGGGTACGGTAATCCTAGCACTTTATTTCATTTATTTTGTGCGCATTGTACTTCTCATCCAGTGAGCTTTATTCCATCCCAGCTGAAAACTGTGACGCTCCAAGCTCCTGAATTATAATCAGATGGACTCACGTGCAGATCGCTCCCTATCTTTACAGCTTCAGTGATGGGCTGATACGGTTCAGGAGTGTTTTTGAGACGTCTGCAGTAAATTTGTGACTATTTGAAAGGAAAGTTGTCGCTCAGGCAGTTTTTCTGAACATGCTCAAATCCCAAAGAACAGGGCTGCACATCTGATGTTTGAGAGCTTTGAACTTCACACTTTACACTTCACACTTTACACTTTACACTTTACACTTTACAGTTTACACTGAGATGTTTTCAAAACTAACGGTGCAGGGTTTTTGATTAAACCTACAAAAGCGAGACGACTGAAATATTTTGTTTCTTTGCAGTGATTTTTAAGCAAATACTCTGAATGAAGCACTTTTTACATTTGAATAAAATTATTTACTCATCAGTATATCTAATTATTTACCAGTAATCTACTGCAAAAACAGCACTACTTGAAATAAGCCAAATATTCCTAAATGTGATCAAATTATCTTGTTTTGAAAAAAAAATTCTGCCAATGGGGTCGACAAAAGTTTCTTGGCTAGAATTCCTAAAACTAGCAAATGATCGTAACTGCTGTGCACCGTTAGATTAAATAAACTGTCCAAAATTAAAAATAATCACACTTCTTACAAGCAAAAATTGATTTCCTTAAGAAAATGTTCCTTAGAATGAATGCTATGCCCCTTAATAAAGCTGATTTTAAAATTTTTCATGCTTCATTTAAAATAATTTGACTTATAACAACAAGAGACCCTGATATGAAAAAAAATCTTTATCTAAAATGTGTATTATGCATCCTTGAACAAGCTGATTTCAAGAATGATTTGCTTATTTTAGGATTTTTACACCTCAATTTAAGTTTGCACATAAACAAAAAAAGCTTCCTGCAGTACAAAATTTTCTTAAAACTGAATTGTTTCTTTCTTGATTGAACTAAGGATTAAATTTCAACTCTGAGAATAATAATGAGCATAAATGGCTGAGAATAAGACGCCATATGTTGAAAAATCATACTAAAAATAAGAGATTTGATCTTAAGTCAAGGCTCCAGAAGCAGATGCAGTTTGTAACTGTATTTCATGTCGTGCTTCGAGTCTTGCAGATTTTGTTCATGTTGTGTGAAACATCATGACAGACATCACGTCCAACTTTAGCGTCATTAAATACATTTTTTTAAATTAAAAACTTGTTTAGATGGCCTTTTTTTGAAAATCATTTTTTGCAGTGTACATGATTTATCACAGTTGGTGAATCATGGTGAGTCATTTGAAACAAAGTGTCTGCGCTCTGGTCGTCTCACCATCGACGTGTCGTTGGCGAAGGTGTGCAGGTCCCTCATGTTGCTGTTGACCAGCCGTCGGACGCTCTTCACCTGAGAGCTGAGGTTCTGGTTGGCAGCGTACGCACACAGAACTCCAATCCTGTTAAACAAATATAATGACGTCACTGTCACAGGGAGACCCTGCAGGGGGTTGAAGGGGGGTTACAGAACGTGGTGATGGAAGCACAGAGACAGTAGGGGTCAGTCTTCATCATCTTTACTCAGACTGAGAGCACCTGTAGAGTGTCTAGAGGCCTTAATCTATAAATTCATTTATCTTTTTTATTATATGCTGTCAACTGAAAGACAAAACAAAAATCACACCTTAAGATAAATTATTTAGGTTTTGTCCTTTGTTCAGCTCTAAACGCGTCCTCAAGTTAAACATGAAAACACAGAAGTGCATGAGGCCCAACATTAAAGTGTTGGACCCTTGAAAACGACCTGAGCAGCTCAATGAGGCTTAATTAGCTTCAGCAACATCAAAGGAGCGACGCCGTAATAAAAGGCTGTTTCCATGACTCATTCTGATCCCAGCTGAGGTTTCTGCTCAGAGCCTCACGGCTACTCCCAGCGCTTGATGTCTGTTTGCACCTTCCTGGGAGAATACTTGTGCTTTGGGGGGTAATGCGCTTCAGAAAAGAGATAATCTAAATATGATGGAGAAGTCATGAATCCTGAAGCGGACGTTGCACGTTGCAGTTATCCCTTACTTCACGACGTGCCTCCGTGGGCCGAGCAGCTTTGTGAATGATGTAAGATGACTTGCAGAGAGGAATAACAAAAGGACTGACTCAGACGCCACTGGGATGCTTTAGCTCCGTCCACATGAATTGGAGTGTTGTGACTCATTCAGTAAAAAGGCAGTGCCTTGAATACTTCTAGTTACTGAGTATAAATACAAGAGCAGCCTGTATGTTTGTGATGCAGCCAAGATGTTGGAGTGCACTCTGAATGCACACTGAACACTTTGCTAGTATCAAATACAACTTGTATTTTTTTACCTTGTTTAATTTGCACATAGTTGTTTATCCCAATTACTTTTGTCTGTTATTTATTTATTTAATGTCCAACATACGGAGGAGGCGTTCAAGGATCCTGGAGTTTGTTCAAGAGTGAGAGAAGAATGGACGGATGGATTAAAACAAGACTAAACGTGAAACGATCATCTGTTTGACATTTAGTGCAAAATCTGCTCGAGACAACGAGACAGACACAGTTTGACAGTTTTTATATGAGTTGACATTAAAACATTAAAAATATTACCTGCGAGTGTAAATGCAAAGCTGAAAGCAGTTCGCTGCAGATTCATCCTGCTGGCTGTTTGAATCGTTATGATGAGAAAGTACGTGCACGCTCATAAATACTGAGTGGGAGCATAAAGTAAACGCTGCCGTCGATCCAGCTGAGATTTAACGAGAATAAAGTCCAAGCAGGCTGAGGCGCAGGGAAGGAATTTATGGAGATGATTCAAACATCAGACACTTGCTCTGTACACTTTATTTTTAATTATTATTTTTTAATAAAGATAATCTTTACTTTTATTACCTCCAAAAAGTCACATTATTTTCTGCTCATTTGTTTCGTTTATATATTTAGTTCTGTTTTTATTTTCACTACATTTAACCCCGACCCTGTTTAAATATATACTTGTAATAAATAGATTATATTTGTATTAAATAGATTATACTTGTATGGACAAAACAACACTTGCTGTTAGGCTCGTGATTTTTCATCTGTTGATTTTCATTTTATCCTCCAGCCATCATTTGTTTTTATCTCTTCCTCACATTCTCTGCTCGTCCAGCAGCGTCCCTGCAATCTGCTCCCAAACTAAAAGCACTGCAACTTGTTGTGGAGTTAAATGTTTAAAACACAAAGTATTTGGCTTTATAAATATTTCATTAAATATAAATAATATTTATATAAATATATAAACACACACAAATAAGTATATATATAATTGAATAAAAATAAAAATTACACACACACATTTTATATATATATATAT